AGACATGCGGTACTTACTTTGACAAAGCAGTCATAAAAGTGAAGAAGTAAAATTTTGGCTCCAATTCGGGCATCATTTTGCTGAGCGCCTGAGCCTGCTTGACTACCTCGAGTACAATGTTGGACATGTTGGGGCATGACTTAGCTTAAAACGTAGGACTAAGTGGTGCATTAGATGTCCCAAACATCACAAAAAAAAAAAAGAACTGTGGTAATTCTGAGTGGAAAAATTGGCATTTTCTTTCTTAACATTTTCATGTGAAAGCATATAGTCTAATTCCTATGCGATTCATTTGTGACACTGAAGTCTTTATATAGAAATAATGTTCATGATGGATTGCAACCAAAATAGAAAGAAAAAAAAAGGGTAAAATGACTGAGAAATTTCTTCACTTTACCTTTGCTTTATCCTTCCATAATTCCATTCATAGAAAAACCTCGTAATTGTGATCATGATCAAGCCATGAGATTCAACATTTTATAATGTAAAACCCTAAGAAATGTAAAGTTTTTCAATTAAATGGACAGTGGAATTCGATGAAATTGCGAGTATTCTTGACTTTTTTTGGGTAGTATATGCTAACTCATGAATTTGTTTGAATTGAATTGAATTGGTTGGAATTGCTTCTTACTTCACTTGGTTGTCTACTAATTTAGGATACTTTGGAGATGTAATGTGCTGAAGATGATACGAGTATACGACTTCAATTTAATTTGTATTATTCGGTTAAGTATTTTTAGAGCATGAGATTGAAATTAAAGATTTTAAATTTAAATTTTAAGACAAGTAAAGAAAAATTCAAAAAATAAGAGTAAATATCTTTTATTATATAATCATCATGATGTACTAAAAAATTATAGATAATTCAAGATCCACCAATTTAACTTTATTTATTTTAAGAGATGTATATTTGTCCAAATAAATGATAACAAAAGTTGACATATGCATCTTTTTAGACGAAGGCTGAGATGCAAAGAAATTTTGGACCGGTGTATTGAGGACCCTAGAAGTTCCAGACTTGGTTGGCCCACAAAGCAACTGCATAATCAATTACTTTATACATAGTCATTTAACCCCTGTTTTCGTGCACAAAGATTGGTTTTCAACAAATAAAGTTTAATCTTTTTTGACTATTTATTTTTAAGTTTTATTGTTTGTTGTTTTTCCTGAATAGACAAGTTATAAGTGACAATTGTATGTTCTTGTAGCTGGTGGTATATCTAGTCTTGGATTGAAGTAATTAACTTCCCCTCACCTTAAACTTACATGTATATACATATAAAAAAATTGTTTTGTATATAAAGGAGGAACCATTGCATGAAAGGTTCAATTAATTGTTTAATTTGCCAATGGGACAGAATGTCTTCGTTAAGAGTATAAGATACAGTGAAATGTTGTAAAAAGAATAAAATTGTGATTGTTTTAAATTCTAGAAATGTAGAAATCAAGTTAGGAGGCAAAAAAATCCATAGGCAAATAATTCTTTTCTTCCGTACCTCAGTCACAGTCGTATTGTACTGTAGCAGGCATTTATTTTTTCTCTAAAATTTTACTTTTCTTTCCTAAAAGCCTCTCCAAAACTAACTTCATCAGAGTTTGGAATCCGGATTTGATTCTTAATTCACACAATAAAACTAGACAAAATTCATCCTTATATTTTGTTTATATTGAGACACAATTAAATTTATTGTATATTTAAACATAAAAAATTTTATTCGAGAAAAGAATTATTGTTTACTAAAAAAAATAAATGCACTTAATTGTTATAAAGATTCAAATAATTCAATCTTAATTCTAAAATTAAAGTTTTGAATTTAATGAACATGGCAGCTAACCTAATGTCCATAAACTAGAATGATTTAGCAGCATAACGTAAACATAATTAGATGTAAACAAGCTTTATTCATTAATTTATATTCAGCAAAATACACTAGCATAAAGATGGTCATTTATTAGCCTTCCTCCTTTGTTATTGATCAAATCAAATGGAGATAACTAGGCCTTCATTTGATTTAGCAGTTGTTATTGAGTCACCATTAACAACTCTGCAATTCAATCTAATCTCTCCTAATTCAGTATGCATCAAAGGCATGATGTTTCCCATTCTTATCATTGAATCAACAAAACTTTCAAAGAATGCGGTTTGGTTGCTGCTAAATCTGTTAACAATTTTAATGGTATCTGCCCCAGCAGTGGAGAACAACTCTTGATCACTTTGAAGTAGACCTTTTTGAGCCTGAAGGTTGGCAAAGTAGCTGTTGTCAAAGGCATCGGATGTTGTGGGATCAAAATCTGTCAGGACACTTCCATTACCACCTTGAGGGCATAATTCACGCAATGTTGCTAAATAGGTTGTGTCCAGGAAAGTGTCAGGATTTCCATTGCCATCAAAGTCATACAGTCTGTTTATGAATGTATTGCATCGAGCCCGTCCAATTGTGTGACCATCTGAAAAAAAATGCAGTCCTACTTTAGAACTAAATAAAATCATATCCTTAATTCCTCCTAATTATATCTGAATTCAGTTCTAAACTGCTTGAGGAAAGTGTCTCTGAAGTCTTGGAAATACCAGACAGCGCGACCAGATCTGTGCTGGTGTTAAGTCCAACAGCAAAGAATTTGGATTTGAGTTCTTCCAGGGTTTCAGTAGGACCTGGAAGGAATTCATCAGCCA